AGTCATTATTTTTGATTGAATGACGTCTCAGTTTTAAAAACGGACAATTTTTTTATACATAACTTACTAACAATATTCGTGATCAACTTCAAAATATATTTGCAAAATTCTTGCGCTAAAAATGCATAGATTATAATTCATTATTATGCATAATAAAATAGTCCCTATTACAGAAGAAAATTATCAATTACAATTTCTACAGTTTAAAAACTGATACGGAAACGCAGGAAACGCAAATTAAGTTGCAAAATTGTTCATTCGAATAAAACTGCGTATCAGAACATCATACATATAAAGTTGGTAACTATATTTTATGGTAGGCCGTCACGTGATGGTGAAGAACCTCTCCTACACAAAATATATCTTTACTTGTGCTCATTCTATTTGAAGAAATAATGTTGCTTTTAAATATTATAGATCTGTATATTATTCTAATATACATTTATTTATTATGTCTTAAGTTTCCTCAAAATGCATTTTCAATTCATTATTTTAAATTTTAAACATTAGTATATCAGTTATGGCAGCTACCATGCAAAATAATAACTGCTGCAAAAATTCACAGAAAATTTCTAATCATATTAACTGAGATAGTGAATCTCGTTTTTTCTATTTAAATTGATTTTTATATTGATCTATTTTTTTAACAATAACTAGGCTTTCGACCCAAGATCTTGGATCTTGCGGTTTTAATATATATCAAAATGTCCAAAATTAAGGTCACAAACACAAAACGTACGAAATTTCGAATAAAAAACTATACAATTTTGCTTACAGATAACCAGTGCTATGAAAAAGCAAATAATAACATAATAAAAGCGTGATAAATGTTCTGAGATATGCATATGAAATTAAAAACGGCCAAAATATGATACTTCGGTTTTCAGAATGCCCTAGTTAATAAGGAATATGGCAGTACTGCACAGCCTTACCTGTTCCACGTTGGGTCTTAATTCTGTAAATGAGGCTGCTAATCGTAACTTGCCTTTTCTAGCCTATCTTCAGAAAGCAAAGAATTTAACGGCAAGAGAGACTTGGGAGGGTGTTGATGTATTATAGTGGCTTTGTTCAACGGACTGCATACCGGTAGTAGCAAGATGTAAAGTGCCTGTTCCCCTAGGCCTATGCAATTTAAATGGAAAATGTAACTCCGCATGGAAGGAGGTCCAGAGAGAATTCTCTATGTGTCATCTCTTCATACCTTGGTACATTTAATGCGGTATGTCTATTCTTCTCAGGTGTCACAGCTTTTGGGCGATCTTTGACGGATTTTCTGGAGGTGATACTCATCGTTTGGAATTGATACCATAATCTGAATATTACTATTCGAGACACTCGTAATCACCAAACGTCCTCCACTTTGGACTTGTCAATCTCAAGCTTATCCATGGCCCTTTATCTGAATAAATCGTCTAAACCAGGGGTTCTAAACCAGGCGGAATTCATCTCTAAGGGGAATGCCATAATATTAGAGAGAGGATCTTTTACTTAGTTGCGAAATATTTAATTTAGTTTATAAATATAATAAACTACTTGTATTCAAGTGGTGGTATTTATCGTACATTTTGCTGTTTAATTTATAAAACACGTTAAAAATCATATAAATCTGATATATATATATATATATTAGCGAAAGTACTAAGAATATTCTTTTAACTAGTATATATATATATATATATATATTTCGAGTTATGGAAAGGACGGGGTATTGACCTTCTAGCAATGATGAAAGGGGTGCTTGGCACAAAAAAAGGCGCAGAACCACAGCTCTAATGATTGCAATGGCTCATTTTAACTCAAATCAACCAATTTTGTGATTTTTTTGTGACAGGAGCATTTTATATAGACGAATTTTATAGATTTCGAAGTCGGTCACTTCACATTTCTTTAAAAACATAGCTTTTTAACTTTTTAACTAGATGTTTCGTTGCATTTATTACTCACTAAATCATATATATATATATAACATCACTTTTTAAAATAATAATAGCAACTGTTTCGAACTATCGCAAACAATTTTGTAATTGTGTTTGTAATTTTAATTTTGGAAACCATCGTATTAAGCATTAAAGCTAACATTTTTGCATTTTAGATCTCAGTATATAATGTAAGATATTTTTTAGTGTTGTAATAAGTAATGTCCTTGAAACAGAAATACCTAAATAGACGATGATAAATTTGCCAGCTATGCAATGATTGATGTTATTGCCATGGCAAACTAGCTACAACGTGATGGAAAATTCAGACATGATGCATCACAATTCCTCACAGCACGAAATTCAAGCTTTTAAGAGAAAGCATTTTCGTTAGAGATTAATCACAAGCTCTTTATGAATAATTTAAATTTAATATGCTAAATTTAAGTTTATTTGAGGAAAGTAAATTTAGCTCTAATTAATTATCAATATAATAATTTTCTCAACAGAAATGGTATATAAAGATTAAGATTCATTTAAGTTAAATAATTGCTACTTCCCTTTAATACTGAAGAGCGATATACTATACGAAAGTTAGTTATACGTGAAATTGTGTTTTAATTTTTCTTTTCATATGTCATGGTTACCCAGCGGAGTCAGTATTGACTCCTCAGAATCGATGAAAATTTCATAAGTGTCAGTGACAATCGTGGAGTCAATTGGCGGTCGATCGTAGAATTCGGCATAATCAAGATCTCATTGATTATTAAAAAATTATTAATCAAATTGATAATTAATTGTTTACTGAAGTAAAACTATAACACGTAGTAAGGAATAAATCATATATGTATATATATATAAAGGGAATAATATGTAACGTTTTTTAGCTATCATACATTCTTGGCTGAAGCCTGGTCAACTACTACCAAGAACTTTTTATTAAATAAACTTTAGCAATCCTCACCTACTCGTACTTACAAAAGCCAACACTTTTAGCTTAACTGAAAAGGTAATTAATAATTAAAAGATTAATGAAGTTAAATATAGCCTAACGGTTTAGCAGTTTAAATATCGCTCCAGCTGGCTCTGACTGGAAGTCGATGTAAACAAGCCTAGGCAGCAATAACTCAACGCCGCTGAAACTAATTTAACTAAATAATAAACTAATCGCTACTGAATCAATGTTAGCAACGTGGCCTTCAAGCAAGCAGACCACGCTATGATTTCACCCTCCAAAACCTTCCTTTTCCTAACCTTATTTGAATATCGCGCTTGGTTTTAAATAAGCTAACACTTCTGGCTTAAATCAAACAAGTAAAGTTAAACTTAAAATAAAAAGTAATTTATACTAATCCAGCGGCTCACGGGATAAAGTAAATGCGCAGAAAGGCTCTGGATCGTAGAAATCGGAGGAGCAACTCTAATGGCTAGATGCAATCAACGCCACAGAATCAAATCGCTATTAAGTCACTGTAACAACATGGCCTCAAACAAGAAGAACAACTTGCGAAACCTTCGTTTAAGCCGTAGTATTTCTTTCTCCCTTGATCTGAATAAACGCGAGCTATCTAATTTAAATTCTGGCATGAAAAGCGGGGGTGAAAAGGAGAGCGACAGGAAAGTTTAACTCAAAATTCACTATTAGTCAAAGTAAATAGATAAATCCTCACAACCTCACCAAACAATAGAAGCCTCTTTGGGATACTGAAACAACATAAATAAGTGCGCTTAAATTCTTTCCTAAGATTAAAAAATCTGATGTGTACACCACAAGACTTCCCTTGTACGGAATATTAAATTATACGCATTTTTTCTTGCATTTTATTTAAACTTATTAGATTGAATTAAACCTACTTCGCCGACAGCGCATAAACCACAATAGAATAAATGCATTCTTTAAAATTCACTTTGTTTACCATAGCGACACTCTGGCGCTAGGTTTACTTAACAGTATTATATTTCATTCATATTATAACTCAGAATGCACAAATGTATATCATTTAAAGAATTATCGAATGTTCTATTCAAATACTATAATAAAGCTAGAACTATGTATAAAAGAAATTAATCAAACAAAACAAAACAGAAACAGTTTTTTCACAGACGATTGAGTATTTCTCATTCAATTAATTCAGTTCTCACTTCGCGAGAAGGCAAAAATACATAAAAACTCAAAATATCTATATTAAAAATTACGAAGTAAATCTCAAACGCTTATTTCCTCGAAAAAATTTCAGAAAGAATTAAGCATGATTTAATTGGCAATAATAAATGAATGCATTATCTTTGTTGTTGCGAAGCTAAGTTTCTCTAGATTGGCAACAAATCCACTAGTCTCCTGTTTCAAATGTAAACATCAATGGCCGCCATTAAAACAGGCTTAGCGGCAATTAAACAACTTTAAAATTGCTGATAATTCTAAAAATATTGCACACAGATTTACCAAAGGCATAAAAACCTTAACCGGAAGATAAAAACAACGTAATTCAATCATTTTTAAGCAAAAAATGTGCAATTTACAAACATATAAGAGTAAAGAAACTGAGATCACTGAGCCGGGTAAGAGAGTGGATATATATATAAATATATTTATATACGTTTGGTGCTGCCGATTGCAACCAAAATACGAGGTGCACATCTACATGTTATAGCAGTCCTATATACAAAATTTCAACGTTCTGAGGCTACTCGTTTTTGAGTTATGCGAGATACCTACGTACGCACGTACGTGCACGTACGTACATACGTTCGTACAGACGCCACGAAAAATTCTCTTCAGAATTAATTTTTAAAGCAGTTTTATATTTTTTTTTTAAGGAAAAGAGTATTTTATTCTGTCCTTACGTACAGATATGACGCAAAACATCGTTAAATTGCATTCGATAGCGGTCAAAATGGATATTTTCGTTGAAATATGCTGCCTGAAACTTTTCGCGATTAGAATACTTCCTTTTCACTTCGTACAAGGAAGTAAAAGCAACTAATCAGTGACTAACCGGTCCTGACTCATTTTTGAGCTGTTTGGAACAGGTCGGCCTCTGTAATAATGACCAGTGTGTTTGTGGAATGGTCGAAGATTCCGACCATTATTTCTTTAGTTGCCCAATACCGCTAACCCTCATCTCAGCAAATCTGCGGTTGTAAATGTAACAGTATGTGCAGACAATAGATTTAGAAATGCTCTTGATCTCAAATGGAGCGCTCACAAGAACGCGTAAGCATAACCAGTTCTATTTTTAACCATCCTTGCAAAAAATCACTGCCAGTACCACCCTCGTATTCTTTCTTATTCTCTTAAATTTTTTCTATAAATCTGTCTAAGTATCATTTCATTAGTGTTTAATCATTTTTTGTTTAATATCCGTTAGGTTTTATTCCTGTAATATTGTTTTCGCATTACCTAACGCGATTCTCTCCATTCATTTTTTTAATGCTGTATATTTCTCTGCATTTATTTGCGTTATTCAGTGAACATCATCTGTTAGATTTTTACTACTGCGATTTTTTGTCATTTTTAGTATCTTTCCTTGCTGTGCAATTAGATCGAATCCTGTTGCATATACACATTTTTGTACTTATCTAAAATACCTTCTAAATACATAATACCTCCTAAATATTATTATAATCCAATGAGGTCCTCATTTAATTCTAATTTAAATATTAACAAAGACACAGTTAATAACTATGTGCCATTCTAATTGCATGGCACATAGTTATTAACTGTGTCTTTGTAAATATTATCGGCTTCACTGTTTAGTATCTGCCAGGTTTATAATGTAGTTATTGGTCTACCTTAGTCACTGAGTTCCTCTATTTTATAATCTCAACTTATTTAATTCGTAGGAATATGTCACAACCTTTTCACTGTGCATATACTATGTAACTACGCTTCTGTATGTAAACACTGATTAGTTTTATGTAATTTAGTTATTCATCTTTTATTTTATCTATTTTTTGAAATTTTTCATTCGTTTATTTATTTGTTTCTGTTGTATTTACTCATTCGGCCTTTTCGACTATTAATTTTTAGAAATATGTTACCATTTTGTTCAGCTGTCTCATCCATCTTCGACAGGTGGAGTATCAATCTGTCTACCTATCTGTTTATCTATCTATCTATCTCTATATATATTCGGCAAAAGTGTATGCATACTAGGGCTTTTCGACCAATATGCAACGCCCCAGTCGATCGGCTGCCTTACTGTTAGCGGAAGTTCAGTAACGGTTAGCGTTCATTAATTGAAGTTCGTTCTACTGAATTTCTTCCTCCTCCGTTCATGAAACTGAGCTTTATTAAATAATTTAAGAAAATATTAAAAAGTAGATGATGCAATTCTTTTAAAGTATGTTTGTAAATATTTCCTTTAATTTATAAGATATTTTCTCCCTCCTTCCTGCATGCCTTCGTGGTGTAACGGTTAACACACTCGGCGCAGAAGTCCAGGTTCGAGTCCCGGCGAGGGCATTCCTCGTTTTCCTGTCTCCTGCTTCAAAGGATCCTAATGTCTCTAGAAATTATTAAAAGAAATATAAGCGAAGTTACGTTAGTCAATTCAGTTTTGAAATTACTGTAGTAAACAAATGAACAAACTCAACTCAAATACTTAGCAAAAATAAACACAAATGTATTGGGTTGAATTCAGTATAATTATATGCCATTAGTAATAATTTACATGCTTATTTCCGTTGAATTTTTTCATTTGTATTCAAATTGCATGGCACATAGTTATTTTGTTTCCATTACGTATTACTCTGTTTTCAGTGGAAAATTTTTATTTCAAATAATTGAAAAACATAAAAATTGGTAGGAATTCTTAGGAATGTGTAATTATTAAGCGTCTTAGAAATAATAAGGAATATGTAAATGCAATAATTGCTGAAAACTTGTTGGAAAATTTCATAGTATACTCAAATAAAAAGAAACTTGACAGAAGTATGAGTAACCAAATTATCTCTTTTTTAAATAAATATGTATTCTGCATTGGTACTAAAATTAGTTCAGATTTTTCACTACGAATTTCATTCTTAATTTCCTTTTCATTCACATATTTTAATATGAAAATGGGAAAACAAGGTTCGGAAAGCGGAATGTTATATCAACCTTAAAATCACTTTTGAATTTTTAGAATTTAAAATTATATACAATAAGCATATACTTAAAAACATTTTATCGCGGTCACTTTTTTTAATCTAAAATTTTGATGAACAGTAAAATAATTAAAAATAAAAGCAATTATCTAATTTTTATGAGTAATTATTTTAATCTTAGGGAAGCTTATAGCATATTTTTCGATAATTCCTATCTGATTTTTGATTTAAAAAATTGTCACAAGCAATGTTAGTTTTCAGTCTGACATATTGTTTCCCAACAATTCAAAACTTACTGTCTTCATTTTTCAGTGTTTGAAAACAACGACTATCAAAATTCAATACTTATATTTCCTATTTCATGAGCAAGATCTTGAGACAATGACAAAGCGATGAGTTAAAGTGTAGTGGCAAAGATGGATTCTGCATAGAGCCATTATACATGGATTCTATAGGAATCCATTATACATGCATACATGCATATAGCACTTAGTTCTGAAAACTTACTAAGCAATGCAGAAATAATCTGCCTATCGTAGCGCACAACTGACACAGAAGAAGAGTTCGCGTTTTCCCGATTAATCCCTCCTCACTACCAAAATTTTCCATTTTTTCCACCGTTTCTTTCCGTCACCCCCAAAAGAGGCTGGGATGAGTGCCTCAGAGGATTGCTCTAGTGATTTATTCGTCATGAGGGTGTACTTGATGGATCACATCCCTGATGCGAATTATCGCCATTTTCTTTCACGAGAATCTTCGAAACAATTCTTTTCCCTCACTTTAATCTATCTGATATTAGGGAATTCAGGGGATTTTATACTTGAGTGGAGTAGCATCATTGGTGGCTACGTGACAGATCTCTATACCACATTTATTCTTTGAATCAATTTTCCCTGTTTCGTCGAAGTTTGTTAAAGGACACGTAAAAGAAATAATTTAGACCAGAAAATAGATTTATATTCGAACTTAAAAACAGCAAATAAAATGTGGTCTTTCTGCCTCAGGCTGACTTAGATGAAAAAAATTAATTTAATTCAGAAAAAATAAATTTAATTTTTTTTTAATTCTAGAATAAATCGTCATTTTCAACTATGAAACTCTTAAAAATCAAAAGATTAAAAAACTAACTTACTTCAACAAAAATAAATTTAATTTTTTTTTTAAATTCTAGAATAAATCGTCATTTTCAACTATGAAACTCTTAAAAATCAAAAGGTTTCACCTGCAGTGGGTATTCATTAAAAAATGTATGAATCTTCGGACCTATATATGGTTGGTAAGTATCGTATTTACTCGAAAATAACATCCATTTTGTTTTGCTATATTTTCTTTTAAACATTTGGTAAGGTCTTACGACTAGATTTTCTAAAACTGAGTATTTTAATAAATAAAACTGTAGAATGAGAGGAAGATATATACAGAATAATTACATTGATGAAATACTAAATAAGCCGCACACGTCATTTCTGTATGTATTAATTATATTATCGTATCATTAATTATGATAATCGTATCTAGCTGAGTGATTTCAGCTTAGGTAGGCTGTAGGGTTTTACTTTAATTTTCTAATAGTTATTTTTATTTTGGACAAGCCTTTCCTATGCCTTTCAATTTCACATCTACATTTCACTACCAGAATGAGTTTTCAGGATTACAATTTACGCAAATGATGTAGAAACGAGTATTTAAGCTGAAGTCTGTGTCATTTCAGGCGAGCGTGTTCTGATTTGTTTCTGCTATAGTCTAAACTTACTGTTCCACGGCCGTGCTTATATGTGCCTGCTAATATATGCCTTTTAAATAAATAAGTAAATAAAATAGTCTCTTAAATCTGCACAGAGTAACCAACTCCTTTAGTTGATTCGAAATTTTGACTCCAAACCGAAGAGACACGTCAAAGTTAAATATAAAATTGTAGATTTATTTGCTGCTGATGAAGAGGGACTTGTATCTGTTTGCCCTCGACATCGACTAAATTCGCGCCACACACAAGGGTTATTTCTTTCCTAATTTTATAAATTTGACTTTTTAGAAAAAAAAAAAAAAAAAAAAAAAAGAAAGAAGAGAGAGAAGTAAAATGAAATGCTTAGTAGACAATAAACGCCCTGGTCAAAGTAAGAATTTCTTTGCTACAGTAATTTCATTTAACATGTCAAAACATTTTCTTCTGAAAATAAGCTTTAAAATAAAAAAAACACAATTTGCTACATCCCTTTGGAGAAAAAATGTAAACAAAATATTACTAAGAAGAATTATTCAGCTATTAAAAGCCGCTCGCACGATTCATTTTAAATTTAATGTAATTAACGATTTGATATTTACCCCCCCCCCCGCCAAAAAAGTCTTATACCTTTCAAGCTTAAACAGTCCATTTGCAAAAGCCATAAAGCACTTTTAGTCTATAGCCAAAGCATTGGCAATGGTTATTCTCTATGTAAACCAAAGGTAAGTTACATTAATGAACTTTTTAATGGTCGTCTAAGTCGTAATTCAGATGCCTACTGAAATATGAGCTAAAATAGTAATTGAAACACTTTGATTGTGTAAGCAAATTTTTAGTTTGCATAAATAAATTAAGTAGGCATAGTTATTGTCTACTTTCATGCCTCTCGAAATAACTTACACTTTTTCGTTGCTCTGCGTTGGCAACAGGCTTTTGGACTTGTCGTCGTTGGAATTCCGTCGCTGAAAACGTAGCAGACCTATAACTATTCTAATTCTTATTTTAAAACTTATCTGTGTTACTGAATTATTACTAGATATTTACGCATGGATATTTTATTATTAAATGTTGTCAGCTTGGTTTGAATAAACCGAGAGTAGTTGAATTTATTAAAGATATTTAAAATAGAAACTACTTCTTCCACTTCGGCGCCATTCGAACATAGGACGAATATCATACGAACATAGGAACATTGAACGAATATCAATAATCAAATTTATATTTTCCTGATAAATACATAGAGATAGATAGATAGAGTGACAATCATGCTTTAAGACATGTTCTTCTGAGCAGTTTACAATTTTTATGATATTTAGATGACTGAATTTATTTTCTTGCTCGTCTCTTTTTTACACTGAGAACACAGTGCCACTTATAGCTAACACGTTAAGTGACATTGCATA